CACGGTGAATCCGAAAAATATTTTTCACATTCACAATGTTAATATATGAATTTAGATATTTTTAGATTTTTTTTTCGATAAAGAATAAGCTCTAGAAATTGAAAAAAAGATTTGGTTCCTTGAAGAAACAATAATTATGGTTCTTTATTGAACTTTTCCATATATATATATATATATATATATATATATATATATATATATATTCACATATATAGAAGTATATAAATCAAAACTGTGTTTATGTAAAAAAAATATAGTAATATTTCTAAAAACGTAAAATAGATATTTTTACTTCTATAGAAGTATAAATACTTATTTTTCGAACCATAAATACACTTTTTTTTTATGTTTTCAAGAAATATAATCACATTAGAAGTATAAATACGTATTTATACTTCTATAGAAGTATAAATATATACTTTTTTCATTTTTAGAATTACACATACATATTTTTAGATCCATACATATGTATTCTTATGATTTTGGGAAGTGTAATTATATTTTTATAAATATAAATACATATTTTTACTTTTATAGGAAATATAAGTATTTATTTTTTTAGAAATATAATATGTATATTGAGAAGTATAATATTTATTTTTTTTCATAGAAACACATTTTTAATTAATATACATTTAGATATGTAAAAGTACATATCTATACTTTTAAAAAAGAATTAATACTTCTAAAAAACACAAAAAATATATATTTATACTTCTAAAAACGTATTTATATGATGTTTAGTTAAACTTTTTTTTTTCGTATATAAATACGTTTTCTCTAAAAAATACGTTTAATATGTAAAGAAAACATATTTATTGTAGAAAGGTAAATAAATTAATTTGTAAACTTAAGGATTTTTTATTGCAAATATTATTTTGTGGTAACCTAGAAGTCTATCATTACAGGTTAGATGAGCAAAAAAAAAAAAAAAAATAATCTTGGCAAACAATGGGCAAAAACGAACAATAAACTGTCACAAAATAAAAACAACAAAAATTACGAAAGCTTAAAGACTTTAATGTGAAAAGCCATAAAACAAATGACCCTTAATTGAAATTAGAATAAATACATAAACACAAAAATAAAACATAAAAACATAATGAAATAAACATATTAACATAACTTAAAGCGTAAATAAACCATCATAAAATCATCAAATGAAAACTCCGAAATGACATTCCATAACGATTACTCTAGAATGTGGAGTCTACTCTGGAATGACAATCATTAAATGGACATTTCGGAACAATTACTATGCAATCCGGAGTCTGCAATTTCCATATTCATGACATGTTGGTCATTTTGCCAAAAATAAATGATATTTTGATAAATGATATTTTTTTTAGATATCGATATTTATATTGGTTAGTTTATTTAATCGTCGAATAATTACACAAATAATTCTCCGTAAATGACACTACTATTAAAACATTTTTAGAGTAAATTACATTTTTCATGCATGTCATCAAAATTATGAATTAGTAAGGAAGATCTTTGCCATTTTATTTTGTTTCGGATATGGTGATTGCCTGCACTAACAACATCAAAAATCAATCGTTATATATGTATGTGAAAATTAAATTACTATTTTACCTCTTCTTTTAATATTTTTAATAGATTTTATTGATCTCATCACCCAAGACAGGTAACAAACAACATGACCAAAAAACAAACAGCACTATTTCTACTACAGTAGAATTTGACCGATGGCTGGCCTGGACATGCCTCTAATTTCCATCCAATAGTGAAAACCCAATTAATATTTATTTATTTATTTTTTGTGATGGTTTTCGGATAATTTATCAACATAAATAAATCCATGTGTAAATTGTAAATTACATACAAATTGTAGTAATTATAAAGAGGATGGAAGGTGTGTCTTACATGAAATGAGTTAAAATGATGTTCAAAAAATTACATGCGATTCTAATCAATAAGCTTCCACGCAACTTCATCCATTGGAAATTCTAACAACTGATCATTTTGGCCATCTTCTTGCTCAACAACATTTAATTCCTGTCCTGCCACCGGAGAACCACCAAACAACCACCCAAATTTGCCATCTTCCATTTCAATATCATCAAATAAGTCGTCTAAATACTCCTTACCCTTGTCATCAAGTACAGTGGGTGATGACGTTAACCCGAAGGATATATCACAGTTGTTATTATCATCATCATTTGATGTTCTTATTAGGCTACACTCTCCATGGGCCATAATCTGGGGGTTGTCATCCATGCAGTGGTTTAGGGTATTGGAGAAGGCAAGTGGTTTTGGCTTAATAACTGTTGTTGTGATGTGTTGCATGGGTTTAGCATCACTAGATTTTTTCTTTTGTTGTTTGGAACGAGGGTGAATATTTGTGTTCCAGTAGTTCTTCACATCATTAGCGGTTCTTCCCGGTATTCTCCCAGCAATCAATGACCATCTAATAATATAAAATAAAACTTATCTTCCAGTTTTATTTAATTTGTATTAATCTTATTCCATAAATGATTGAATACAGCTAACTAACTAAGTAAGAAGTTGTGCTTACCTATTTCCTAAAAGCTTGTGAAGCCTGAGTATGAGATCAACTTCATCTTCACCAAAATTTCCTCTTTTTATATTTGGCCTGAGATAATTCAACCATCGCAGTCTACAACTCTTTCTGCATCTGCTTAACCCTGCAAACATCACATGAAAATATTTAGACAAGGAAAAAACCTACAAAAAGAACTAGTAGTTCTTATTATATTTTTCTTTCAAAGAACACAGCAAAGAGTTAAGAGATAAAGCGTTTTGCAACACAAAAAAAGTACAAGAACTTGCTACCTGCTCTAAGAGCAACGAGGTGCCATTTCCCTTCCCCATATTTCTCAATACACTTCTTAAGAAGCGTATCTTCATGTGCAGTCCATGCACCTTTTCTCAATCCAAAACCATGAGTAGTAGTAACTGGTTTCATTTCCTTTGTACTCTTTTCAGTACTGATGTTGTACATAAATACAGTCCAAGAAGTTCTTATATATTCCAGTGAATCTCTCTTTTTATTGTACCATGAAGCACGTGCTAGTTTCATATATATGTGCATATACCATCTAATTTATTACCTTTTTATAGACACAGATAGAGCTGCATGTCTTTTGCCCTTCTCTCCACATGTATGCATCACTTACGTGCACACTGATTTCTCCACAAAGATATGAATGTCCCACAAACCATTGTGCATGATAGACAAAGATGTGATATGTATCATATTCAATAATTGGTTTCAGTAAATAGATAATAGTTGTATTTTATAGTAATTAACTAGGTTTAAAACCAGTGTATTACACGGTTGATTAAAAAAAATAAAATATTAAAATGTAAATACTAAGTATTTTTTAATATAATTTTTTGAAATAAGAAATAAAACATATTAATTGCAATTTATTATATTTGATACTTTACATATATAAATATAAGATTATGTAGCTTTTTAATTTTAAAAATTGAAAAAAAAAACCATAAATTGACATTTAGATATTATTTATTTAAAAAATAACATAAAATGACAAATGTCAAAACTCATTAGAGATTGACATGTGTCAAAATTATCTTAGATTTATTATAATAGATGTTTTATTTTTATTTTAAATATCAGAGTAAATTCCAGTCTTGGTCCCTGTGGTTTGTACTGGTTATAACAGTTTTCATCGTACTATTGGAAAAGTAACACCACCGGTCCCTATGGAGGGTTTGGTAACACCGATGGTTATCCCCTCTAACAGCCCTAACGGAGGGGCTGTTAAATATTTGAAAAGATAAAATTGCCCCTACAATTGCTTCCACCACCGCCACCACTTACCCACTACCATAATCAGAGAAAGTTGAGGGAAATTACCGAAATGGATACGGTGAATATTTGGGTCAGAATTTTCATTCATCACATTGATGGATCATTCATGAATTTCTTATGGGTTTGAGATTCTCTTTTATTTTTTCAATTCAATTTCATCGTCTTCTTATTCTTCTAAACGATTAATGATCCTCAATATTGATGGATTTTTGAAGTTCATGCTAAAATCGGTCATTATCGACGTCTTTTTTAAAATCCATTGACGAAATTGATTTTTATAAGGTTTTGATCAAAAAGCGAGTTTTTGGTCATCGTTTTGGGTTTGATTAGTTTATACATAAAAAACAGAGCACAAAGAAACACTTTTTCTCTAGGCGGCGAATTTTTATATAAATTATAAAACTGAATATGTTTTGTGTATTTAAAACTATATATTATTAGTATGCTGGATAATCAGCATGTTCAGAGGAACGGTGAAGTTGCTAACTCTTCATCAAATTCTTCTTTTCATAACATCGAAGGTACAATTGTACATAGACACTTCTGTTTCGAGTTTTAAATTAGTATTTTGTATTTGTGATTTACTAATGCTTAATTTCGAAGCAACCCATTAGTTTTGAAGAAAGCAAAATGATATATTCATCAGTTTCTATAAGGTTCTAAATAACGTAGGCGTAACTTGGCGGCAAGGTAAAAGTAAAGTCATGACAAGCCATGGCGAGCCATGTCGTTTTTCAAGGCGTGACTATTTTATATATATTAAAAGAGATAAATCATATAATTATTGATTTTTATCAAGTATATCAAGTTTTTAGAAGTGTTATATTAGTATTTAATATAAAATTTTAATAAAAACTCAATTATTTTAGGCCCGATAAAAAAAATCGAAAAAAAAAAAACAAAAAAAACTCAAGCCTTGAAAAAAACTCGCGCCATATCGCGATAAGGCGCGCCTTGACACGTTATTTGAACGTCACACTTAATAAACCCGCCTTGGACGTTTTCGTAACGGCTACACCACGCCTCGCGTCATGGCATGCCTTGAGGCGCGTCATGACGCTTTTTTTAGAACCATGGTTTCTATATAGACGTTACTCGGTTACAATTTGATTCATATGTTCTATTTCCATTTCCCCATAATTATTCTTTGTTTGTTTGCCCTATCTCCCAATTCCTATTTTCATACAATAATTTTGATTACTTTATCTCCCATACCAAATCGAAACTGTTTAGAATCCCAAGGTTTAATTGTTGCAAGTTGTATATGCGTTTTGATTGAAATTCTTTAAATCATAGAAGTTGTAAGGCGATTAAGAATTCAAACAGATGAGAAAGAGGATGGAAATGCCATGGCAGGTTCCATGCACTACAAGAAAATGAACAATTAGCGGCGACAAAAGTTGCCGGTAAAGGGTCGAGAAGTCGCCGCTAAAGCTAATAGCGGCGACACGTCACCGGTAAAGAGTCGCCGCTACTGCTTCGTCGCTATTGATCAGATTGTCGCCGTTAAAGACAAATGTCGCCGCTAATGCACCTGTCGCCGCTAATGCTTCTTGTCGCCGCTAAAGAGAATGTCGCCGGTAATACTCATGTCGCCGGTAATATTGTCGCCGGTAATAATGTTTTTCATTTTTTTTATATTTGCGATTTTGGGTATAATTTATTCCAAATATTGTTATAATTAATTCTATACAAAAAATTACATAACAACATCAAATTAAATACCAAATACTGTTATAATTAATTTAATACCAAAATAAAACAACCAAAAGTTTGATAATTCTAACAAGTAGCAAAGTAAGTTTTACAATTCTAACAAATAGCAAAGTGTGACAATATAACATACAAATAAAGCTCCCCCCTACATATCATCATCTTCGTTCCCATCATTTCCTCCTTGATTATTTTGTGATTGAAAAAACGAATAAAGCTCCTCCCTACATGCCGGGTCGTTGAGCAATGCCCAAAGATTTTTCAACTACATAATAAATAACAACATATATAAATTATAAGTTAAATTTTCCAACTAGGAACGAAAACACAATTACCAAATCCACATGCATTTTATGATGCCAAAGTACATTGCTATTTTTAAACTAAGACAAAAAAAGCAAAGTACATTGTTATTTCTTACATATGGGACAAAAACTCAAATACCAAAGCTTTTAGCAAATACTCACCAAAAACCAAAATGACCAAATCAACATACATTTTATGATGCCAAACTATATTTCTATTTTTAAAGTAAGCCAAATAACCAAAGTACATTGTTATTTATTGCACTTGAGACAAAAACTCAATTACCAAACCTTTTAGCAAATAATCACCACAAAACCAAAATGACCAAATCAACATGCATTTTATGATACCAAAGTACATCGCTATTTTTAAACTAAGACAAAAAACCAAAATACATTGCTATTTGTTGCACTTGGGATAAAAAACTAATTACCAAAGCTTTTAGAAAATAATCACCACCAACAAAAATTACCAACTCAACATGCATTTATTGAAATTAAATAATCTTGTTTTACCTGTGATGGTTGTGATGATTTGTGGTGGTGGTTGCGACGGCTGTGAAATCGGTGGGAGAGCAGAAGGTTTACGGCCGATGCCTCTGATATGGCCACGTCGCACTCCTAATACTTTCTCAAAAGCGGCTCTTTCTTAAGCGGGTGTTAACTCACTTTCACCTTCAGTTTGTTCTAAGAACTCTTCGACTAACCGATTATGCAAGAATGAACAACACAATAGAAAGATAGATAGGAACAAAACTAATATATTGAAAAACTTAGTAAC